AAGCGTAGCTATTAGTTCTAATACTGTGTGATTAAACTTAAACGGACTATATATAATAATGTGGCACATAACCCTAGGCCATAATTTGATGCTACGTGAGTCCTTTGAGCTGCTGATCAGCCTCTTCCCCACTCTTGCCTTCCTCCCTTTTGAAAACCGCCAAGTTGTCACTTTTTTCTTGATTCTTCCCTCTTAATATTTGTAAACACTTAGTAAAGTGAATTGTGAGGGTGAAGGTCAGCCTTTGCTAAGTTGTGGGTGATGTTTATGGAGGTTTAGGGTGTTGCCTCTGAGTTGAGTGGTGTGAGAGCCATTCTTTTGGTTGTTTGAGCTTCAAGGAGTGATCTTTGAAGAGAAAGAACCATTCTTGGTGTGCCATTTTCGTGCATCTTGAAGTCGGAACCTTGGGAGCTGCATAGAGAGCTCCAAGAGCATTCCTTTTTCTGTTTTGGACTATTGGTATGCATCACCACCTTTGTTCTTGAGTTTTCTTTGGAAAAAATGGACCTTGATGCATGTAACAAGCTAAAGTTAATAACTTAAGGGTGGGTAAGGTTAAACACACCTAGAAATGCATGTTTAAACTTCTAGAATCGTTAAAAGGACAATCTTTGGGTGATATCTTCGCGAAAATGCAGAACTGTATTCTGTCGCAAAATATCCGGATATGGGGTTTTGGATATCTGGATATGATATCCGGATATGCCCCCGACAAATATCCGGATATTCTGGGAATTTCGAGACAGTGATTGTTCTGTTCATACAGAACTTTATTTGGGGTTTATGGACCCTTGATTGATTAGTTGAACCTCTGTAATAAATAATCTAAGTCAGAATCAATTGGATTAAGGGCTTAGGGCTTTGGGATAAGCCTATTGGCATGAAATGTAAAAGGATAACGTTGTCGTTATGTCATGAACTATTAGAATATGAATATTGATATGATTGTTGGTATAAACAGACTGTGAGAGTGTTGTTTGTGGACCTTGGACTTGGTTGGACTCTTGAGTTGGATAGTTAGCTTGCGAGGTAAGCTTCCGTGTCCTCGGTTTTTCCATTGTTGGTTCCACCATACCCCATGGGGGATGATTTATATGCATGATGTGTTATCATGTATTGATATTTGAAATGCTATTGAGCTGTTATGTGCAAGTGCCTTATGATATGTATGTGTTGTTCCACCTAGACGGTAAGCCTGAGTATGTGGCGTCATACAAGATGGTGATTCTGTAGGTGGGTGCAAGTGGCGTCTTGCTCTGATTGTAGGTTATAGACGTATGTAATTCCTGCATTTTCTCTGGCCAGTAGGATTTTGACACACATGACATGATTATATGCTGCATTGCACTGATTTCTGAACTTATACTGTTATACTGCTTTTTGAACTTATATTGCACATGTAAGTGAGCTAGGGGTGGAGAGATCCTTGAGGACCCCTTGTCTTACTGAGATTTTTTCTAGAGATCTCACCCCACGTTTGGGGCACATTTTTAGGTTCAGGTACCTCGGGGGTAGATACCTCTAGCGGCAGGAGGCCGGAGTTGAGTTGATATGCATGCTGCTTGTTGTTATGTCTGGATACTGATTATGTTTATCTTCAGTATATTGTTATATGATTTGAGACTCTGTTGGGCTTTGTTGCCTTAATTGGTGAGCATGGGGATTGTCCATGCCACATTGATGTTATTTATGTCTTAGCTTTGAGTTGTATAAATTATCAGGATATTGTCCGGTCTACGTGTTGTAGCTCCGTGACTAGAAACACAGTTATTTATATATGAGGTGTTTCAGTAGTTGTTTAATTGCAATTTACATACAGGCAATGTTTTTGAAAAAGGATTAAGTAATCAACTTGGTAAATAATAATGACGTCATAATTGGAAAGAAAAAGTTAATTCCGCATTTTAATTAAGCAACGCTTAATACGATGATATGATAACAAACCGGGTATGCACGGGGTGTTAAACTTCCCACGCATTAAAACTGGTTTCTAATCATTCTAACAGGTGGTAATCAATTACCATACAGGTGGTAATCGATTACTCCACACGATACCCAATTACCAAGAATAGAGTAACCGATTACTGCACATGGTAATCGATTACCAAAAACAGGGTAATCGATTACTGCACATGGTAACCGATTACCATACAAAAGGTAATCGATTACCACGCGGACAGAACAGAAATCTGCATAATTTTTCTGCATAATCCGCGACCCCAAAGCTTCCCCAAGGTTCAAGGCCTGATTTTTTATCAAAACAATAGTTCATTATTACACATTAGGCCTAGATTAACAACTCTTAACTTGAATGATCAAAGTTCCCTTTTTTAATGACTCAAACAAGCTAAAATCATGAAATTTCAAAGAAAATGATCAAGGTTTACCTATAGAGTCTTGAACTCAGAAAAATAAGGAGACTTTGATGACCAATGGAGTGCTCCAAGCCACTGACTTAGTGGTGCACGAAAATCCCCACACCAAGGTAAGTTCTTTCCTTTCAAAGCTTGGTTCTTGAAGCTTCAATGGAGGTGGAACACACTCACACTCCCACAACCAAGGATGCAGTCCCCAAACACTCAGAAAACAGAAGCTCAAGCTCCCAAGAACACTCTCCCCACACCTCCAATGCTTGCTACAAGTCTACACAATGATGGAGGAGGGTTTCAAGAGTAAAAGGTGGAGTCTTGAGCTTGAAAATGGAGAAAATCTCCAACTTTCCTATGAAGAAGAAGGTGGCAGCCAAGGAGAATCAGAAACTCGCGTAGGAAGGAGGAAAATTTGACCTAAAAAAGTGTGCCCTTTTGTATTTATAGTTCACTTAAGTTTAACCCGTCGGTATTAGCACTAATAGCTCCGCTAATCATTTTAATCTCAAATTTGATGTTCTGAACCTAGCCATTTTTCTAGGATTTGTCATATTTTTATTATAATTTTTTGCAACACGTTGCCGGTACGCATTTTCACGTCGCCGATATTAGTTCTGACATCAATACCCATAATTATGGCTCCAAAGTTGGTATTCTTAACCTAGATATTATTTTAAGAATATTCATGTACTTATTATAATTTTTCGGGATACTTCACCGGTACGCACTTATACCATTAAGCAGAACCGGTATCTGCACTTTTCGTAAGAAAAGCGAGTTTTAGCGTTATTATGCCCTTATAGTAATTATTTAAGTCTTACCATATTTATTCAAGGTCAATTATGGAATTACTTCCTAAATTAATAATTAAATCATTTAAATTCCTAATTTAACGGTGCGGGTTCTTACACGCTCCGAATCGGACTAATCGCGAATGGGTTATTTGTAGGGAGGTAGAAAATTTTCACAATGTGCAAAGTGCGACCTCAAAACCATTGCCATAGTTAGCCCCACCCATGTGAGTGAGCCAATGCATTCCTCAGGCTTAAGCTATGTTGTGTGTAGGAAATAGAAGAAAGTGTTTCTAATGGTGAAGACCACATTCATATGTCGGGTCGTACTTTCATGTTTTGCAATGTGATAATAAAAATTTTGGTGGTTGTAGCCGCATTTTGTTGGGTTTTAAATGTGTGGGAATGTAGAACCCACTTGAGATTTTGGGAATAATAATGACAATAAAAATCTCAACTATTAAAGTTATTCAAAGATTTTTTTAGAACAAAACAAGGGAGTAGTTGGCAATTTGCTCCCACCTCACATGTGTATCATTTGTTTGTGCTAGACTCCAACTTTTCAAATTGTGAGAGTCCTATGAAGTTTTCCTTCTTAAACAATGAGTATATTCAGCCCAAGATGAAACTTACAAAACAAGGATTTTTACCCAAATACTTGAAATAGTCATCAATTGGGACTCAACAACTAATAGATTCTCCTTCCTATCATTCCTTCCTTCTTCTTTCACTACTTTTTTGGTCACAAAACTCATCAGTATTCTATATGAACTTGAAACCCTCAAATTCAAGAGTTGGTGGAACCTCTATTATTGAATATTTAATCAACCTTTAATGAATTTGTTCATATATCTCAAACCTTCGTCATTCTCTTCACTGCTGGACATAGTTTTTATTTCAACCCAAAACTTGAGCTATAGACCTTAGATTTGAATGTTATTGAGTGATTCGAAAAGCTTGAAGCAGACCTACAAATTTGATGAAGGGTACTAAGCATAATTCTGGAGTTAAAAAACCTTAAACTGGCCTCTAAATTACTGAATAGGTGCTATCTTGAAAATTGATTTAGTCCGAATTCTTTAGCTATAACTTGAACTTCTCACCATGAATTTGGACGTGTTATGTGTTATGACTCAATGAAAAACTGAAAAAAAATATCTACAACTTCCATTAAGATTTTGAGACATGTTTAGATACTCTCATTTTGAATAATGCACATTACTCAAATAACTCATAATTTGTGCAAGCAATTTCCCATTATAAAAAAAGTGTGTATCCTTTTAAATGATACAAATTATATTATTTTACAGACACAGATATAAATCCCACTAAAAAAATATATAAATTTTACCTTTTTGTATCTATAAAATACCACAACTTATATCATTTAAAATAACACACATTTTTTCTTCTTTTATATACATTTGAGTTTATTAGATAAAAAAAATTCTGACCCTTCACGGCCTTACTCACCCTTCAAATGAAATCATTTGCAACAATTGTGCAAGAATGTCAATGTACATTTAAAAACATGCCTATTTTATAGAGAAAAAATCTGTTTACAAATTACACTAAGTATGATTGATCATACACTCTTGATTAAAGTATGACCAATCAGACATAATATATTTTGTAAAAATTTATAAACAAAAAATTTGTAAATATAACATTTCCCTATTTTATATATAAATAAGCAGGTGTCAATAAAACATTTGTAAGTAAAAATGATTTGAAAACTTATCATAATGTGCTTAATTGTTTCAAAAGTTATTATATTGGGCTCCAAAATCTTGCAGACCCACGTAACACAGCATAAAAAAAAAACGCACACACACCCCGTTGATCAGAGTCACAGTGCTGCATCAATGTAGGAATCAGATGAACAGAATCTATCAAACCGACCTGGACCATATTTTATGGCATTTGCCAACCCTGAATTTCTACAAAACATGCGGGAAATAAATAGAAAAAAAAATGTATAATTTAAAATACTGAAATTAAAAAAAATAAAAATAAAAAATTCAGTTCTATTTTTTTTTTTTTCCTTCCTGGGGGCACAAACTAATTAGAAGACTCAGCATTCAAAATTCTGTTGCTTCTATAGCAGCTTTCCTCTCCTATCAGTCACCAGCGTGAAATATAACTACTGTACCACCACTTGTCTTTCTTCAGCATCATCACGCTCCACCTGAAAACCATGAAAATCAAGGTTGCAATTTCAGGTTTGGAACCTAAAAGAAATTTTAGGTATCTCATACAACTCTATATTCCATAAATGTCAACCACAAAACCACTTCCCATCAAACCTCAACTTGCATGAATAAAGATGAGGGCAATCCTTATAAAGGATCTTATCCTCGCGTATTTGCTTTTCAGAAGTTACTTCAAAAATTAAGGATGGAACTAATTGGTGCTTCTTATTCTTCAGACACAAAAGAATATTGACCATAAAATTACAATAAAATGCGTTTGTCATATTTATTTGATATAACTTTCAGAAAGTAGCTTTCACGAAGCAAACACTACCAAAACCATGCAAAATCAAGCAAGAAAAAGGGAACAAATGAGCATCGATTTGACTGATTCACACTTCATTGTCAGTACATGCTTAACACATGCACATATAACATTATTGAAGTCAAGATATGATTAGCTTTGTCAATAACTTCGTAAAAGTATAGGCATCACCTCAACTTTAGATCTCAGAAAAAAATAAAAAATTTCTGCACTCTACCGACATCATCTATCGTGAAAGTTTAGAGCAATGAAATTTTAGTCTAAGGCATCAGCTATTTGAAATAAGGCATGACCTTCAAATTATAACAGAATATCAACAATTATAAATATTTATTGGAATCATGATACACTAAAGTTCCCCTAAGAAGCAGTTTAGTTGTCGTTCGCAGAAATTATTCATAGCAGTGCACATATCCAATACCATTTAAAAGAAATGACATTTTTTTATAGAAGGAAACAGTATATAATTACCTCAACAAGGACCCTAGCCTTCTTCTTTGATTTAGAATCAAGGGCATCCTTTTCAAGTTTCTTTGAAGCTAAAGTCATTTTCCTCTTCTCTCTCCTCCGATCAACTGCTTCGTCCTCTTCATCTTCAGTACTTCCAGCTGCATTAGTAAAAACTTCAGTATGCTTTTGCTTTCCAAATGAGTAAGTTTCATACATCCAACAAATAATGACAGGTTCTCCCTCCATGTGACAGGTTCTCACATCCAACAAACAATGAAATAATCCACATAACGCAGAGAAGACAGCACTCTCATGCAACTAAGCATTTGAATCACTAGCCATGCAGAAACCAGGATTATATATGACTGGTAATGTGCATTTTTTTGGGGGCCGAACTTTTCAACATTTGCAAAGTTGTTTGTATGAATTATTATATTATAATAATTTGAAAGTTATCAGCAGACATACGATTGTAAATCAGTAAAAATTGTTTTTCAAATATTTTTCCTTTTGTCATCAGAGTTATTTTTGTAAATTTATGATTGTAGGTGCAAACACTTGGAAGATCTGACTACAGCATCAAATCTAGAAGAAATGAAGTTATGTTAGAAAATTGTAAAACAGAAATTGTGCAGCCAATAAAATTCTCATCTAAAATCTTATGCACTTATTTTGAAGTTGAAACTAAACTAAGACAATACCACTCTCCTATTTGTTATGTTTACCCCAGCACAGTGCAAAACATGGGTCACATGACTTGCTTAACTATTATATCATGCACATCTTATTCAAAATCCATGAATCAGGGTCATGTGCACGTTTCATACTTTTTCCAAACTCACACACAGAGATTCCTTCTCCATATGACAGGCTCTCACTCCAACACAAATAAAAAATCTACACATAAAAACAGACAAAATGATAGAACAGGACCAGAAATTAGGGAATAACAGAAAGAGAATGTGGGAACTTTTATTGAGTTTACTCCTCTAATTCAGGATCAATGGGTATCCAAAAATCAGAAGAGCAAGAGTAGTGTACAAAAGGAATCTTCCCCAGGAATGCAAGAGCCTTGTCTGTCCCTCCTAAACAAATTCACCAAATAACTGGCTTCACTTACATTCTTTCCCTATATTTCTATCCTACCTCTGCCATTGCAGTTAGAGGGCTAACTATTAACTAACAACTTCTCTAACAATTTTAACTAACAAGGCCTAACTGGTAGAGGCTGGCCCACTTGGCTGTTTGGACCCATGCTTATTTCTTTTAACGTATACTTTCCAAATTGGGGGCCCTAACACAACACAGCTGTCTCATGCAACTGAGCATTTGAATTACTAACCAGGTAGAAACCTGCTCACCATTTGCAAAGTTGTTTGCATGAAGACATGAAATATTTTACAATAACCAGTAATCATTGTTTTAAATATTTTTCCTTTTGTCATCAGAATTACTGTAATTATATGATTAACGGTGCAAAGACTTGAAAGATCTGACAACAGCTTTGAAGAAATTAAAACATGTAAATAATTACTAGAATAATAATTATGCAACCAATAAAAATTTTGGCACTTATTTTGAAATTGAAACTAAACTAAGATAATACCACTCCTATTTGTTATGTTACCCAGCTCACTGCAAAATAAGGGCCGAATGAGTCACTTAACTTGTCATATCATGCAAATCTTATTCAAAATCCTTGTATCTGAGTTTCAATTATGCAAAAGCAAATTCTTGTCAAGTGAAGAAATATTTTACAAGATGCTTTTGGAACCAACTCCACTATTTCAATATACATAAAAAAATGCCATCAATATCTATTTTAACATGCGAAAAATACTCAATGGAAAGCACATTTTATATCTTTCAAACTAATAGTTACCATTTTCATCGTCATAATCACCCTGAGACTCATGAATTGCTAAACCACCAAAATCCTCTATGTCATCTTCCTCTTCAAGTTCATCATAACCTTCTACATATTCTATCTCTGGTTCCTGTTCAATTCAAAAACAATAATTAATAAATTAGACAGTGTCAACCCATTAAGTTAAATTTCGAACAATTTTTATTGAAATAATGAAAACAGAGAAAATATTATTAGAAAATACAAACCTCTTCATCCTCTTCATCAGCAAGTTGAAGTTTCTCCATATCAAGAACTTTATTGTACTCTTCAAGAGGATAGTTGTATATGTCACTTTGTTGATAAACTCCTTTTTGAAGGCGTTCTAATAGCTCTTTTTCAATAGACTAAATAATATTGAAAAGCACCAATGAGGAAATCGAAGACAACACAATTTAATGTGCATGGATAGCACTAGGATTAATTATAACCTTTTCTAACAAAGCTGCTTTTTCGGCCTTCGCTTCTCTTCTAGCCTCTCTCTTTATCTCTTTCCTTGGAGTTGTCATTATTTTCTCCCTATAAAATAACAACCACAATAACCAACATGATAAACCAGGCTATTGTTATGGAATAACAGCTACGAACTTTCATTGAAGAAAACAGACAAAAAAATTGTATGAAAAGAGACCAATATGTGTAAAATGAATGAATCCAAGCAATATAACCAAAGAAAACATAATCGCTCTCTTTCTATATACACGTACACACATGCATGCATACACACACACATATATATATATGTATTGTAACAAACAAAATGAGATTGTGATACAGAATGTAAGATCCAACAGACATGTTAAAATAACAACGAAAGGAAGAAAAACAATAAATTCAAAAATTTAAGTAAAATCTAGTTCAAATTCTGGACAAGGAAATTTACCCTGAAATTAAATGCGGCCAAACTGATTAACAATAAATCAAAAATAATAATAATGCTGTTGAAAAGTAAGAGTTTTAAGGAGGTGAGACAGAGAGAAACCACAATAAGTCACTAAATAATAGGAAAAGTTCAATACATAAAAAGATCCTGTACATAAATACACTTTGCGCTGGTTGCATTACAAGCAACTAGTTTCTAATAAGCGTTTCCAAATTAAACAAATATGGTGCAGGATGTGGACAGGAAAGCAGGATAAAAAACTTGAACAAAAAATAGTCAATCAGAATATAGGGTGACAGTTTCTTTCTAATGTAATGTTGCCCTCTGATTAAGCAGATAGCTGCCTCTCATTCATAAACTAGTCCCTCCTTTATAAATATTTACAAGCAGAATGCAATTCAGAAGAATAAGTTTTATATTTGGGAATGTATTTAGGTGTCAAATTAACAAAAACAAAGTATACATGCTACGTCAAAATATTGGGCAAATATTAAAAGTGAGGAGAAGGTTGAGAAATTACATCTAACTGAAGCAATAAAATGTTACATACCCTAAAGTGGATGTTTCAGCACCAGAATTAAGCATGATTATAGCAGCCAATCATTGCCTTCTTTGCCAAAAATGATGTCCAGCAATGCAGACATGATCTTAATTTGCAATCCATTAATCCTGAGGGCTTTCAGTTAGGCTTGAGGTTGCCTATCTACCCCAATCAATTGATGTGTTTTGACATACATGTGCAGGTATATTGAAAGTAAAAGTAAATGAAGCCTTGGTTTAATTCCAGTCCATTATTTTAAGTCAGAAGCAATTTGAGCCCAAAGTCTATGCCACTATAAATCCCTAATAGAAAATCAGATGTAAATTGAGCCCAAACTTCTTCTGTGACAGTCCTATTCGTTCACAGAAAATTATGTGTTTCCCTCACACCCATACACAAAATTGCGCTTATCAGATTAGTAATTCAAATGCTCAGAATCAACATGCAGAAATCAAATAATATGAAAAGAGCATCTGGAGCACAAGCTTCTTAGAGATAAATTATGCACTGCCTGACATGATAAAACCAGAAGCAAATGACAATTCAATTTCAAACCTTGTCTTCAAAGCAAGTTTCCTCATGCGTATCCGCATCTGGGTCATTTTGGTCAAACGTTGCTTTGTTTTGTGTATAAGAAGCTTGGGCCAGTACATCTGTCAATGTAGAAAGATCAGGGGGACAACCAATCTTGACAATTACTTGCAAGTAAAAAGTTGAATATATAAATACTGCGAAGACTACATAATCTGCAGTACCAGATGTTTATCGATGACTTCAAGCGCCTTCTCGTAATTCCTAGGCAGCTTAACTCTTTCCCACAAATTCTTGGGCATATGAGCTCTTTCTATAGTTTTCATGTAAAGGTAAAACACTCCTACAGCATCCAAAGCAATTATATCATTATTAGCATATCCTACCACAAATTCCCGACTTACTGCATTTGCCATTTGCCAATCATAAGGATAACAATTTGATCATTGATATGTTACGCAAAACCAAACCAAATTATTCCACAGGGGCACATGAAAAACCAAAATGTATAAATAAAGTGAGATATCAAAGTCAGTTTACAAAAGGGCCTCAATATGCCATCTTCTTCTTGTGGGTTCTCCAAAGAACCAAACTTTAAACCCAACTCAGCCAAAGCGTGCATTTTTATTAACACCCCACAAGCATTTTATCACTATGCATTAGTTTCTATCTAAAATCTACCCCCCAAAAATACAAAAAAACAGTGTTTGCAAGCAAAAGTACCGTTGTCGTCACGAATGGTGGCATAGCGACTATTAGCTAAAGGGCAAGAGCTTCGGTTACAAACCCCAGTGACGTTATAAGGGTTTCTACAAAAAATCCCCGTCGCAATTCTGCAAGAAAAGAAAAAAGGTGAATGGTTGGAACTTGTATTACAGAAACAACAAAGAAAACCCCATGAAGAGAGACTTTAAAAAAAAAAAAAAAAAAGTGGGGTATTTACTTGGCCATGTAACTGCAATGGTTGTGCCTGATAACTTGCCATATAACCTCGTCATGCTGCATCTTTGAAAGAAAATATTAAGGGTTCTTCGGTGTTGTAGTTAAGAGGATGCGAAAGCTTCAATGTTTGAGTCGCCTAAGGAAAAAATGATGGAGTTCGTTTGGACTGAGGCTCCTTCAGGCGCTGCTGAAACGATGGAAGGAAAAGCCTCCTTTGAAGGAGCGAAAGATGGAAGGAAGGGAAGGCTTCGATTTTTTCCAGAAACGCCGTCGTAGAGGATATGTCTCGTTTTAGGGTTTTATGATGTTAAGTAAATGGGTTTTACAATAGTTACGTTCTAGCAAAATTGATTGTGCAATGTTATAAAGATTCGTTTTACGTGCTATAATTTTTTTTTTTTTCAAAAAGTGAGTCCTACAAAATATTGTACGTGTAGAAAAATTTGTTGTGTATGTTAAATGATAAATGTAAATCCCTAAGTAAATAATTACCATAACATATCATCTTTTACAGAAAAATAATATCAAAAAGATATAATGCGTAAAAAGTATAATAAAATTGATAACTTATATATGTATATTTATTTGGCGATTATATAACATTAGGTCTAAATATAAAAATAATTATATAAAATATTTATAATTATATCAAAAATATTATTATCATATAGAATATTTATAAAGAACATTGATCTTAATTTAATATTTATTATATTGTAACTTTAATTGATAAATTTAAAATAACAACAAAAATATAAAAATTAAGCTAGAAATGATTATGAATACCAATATTAATTAAAATTTTATTATTCTAAATTCTAGAATGAAAAGGCGGAAAATTTTCAGTAACAATTATCTCAAAAAAAATTCTAAAAATTTTGAAAATCTGTATTTTAAATCATATGTTCCTCTTGCTAATATTTTCATCAAGGCAATTGCAACACTCAATCATTGATTCAATTAGTGAGTCAATGGCTTATCAATGATTAACCTTGTTAGTATATACTTTATATTTTTTAGCTTACTGTTATTTTGGTTGTAAATGCTCTTTCAATGATGATTGTATTTTTATATTAGTGCTTATGTGCACTTTTTTGTTAGGCCTCTAGTGTTGATATACACCTTTCTGTTATGACTTTCTTATATACACGTTTGTATCCTCTCTTTTAGATTAATGGAATATGCACATATTTTCTCCATCATGTTTTCTTTCTGGTTGATAGCTAATATGGTATCAGAAGTCTCTTGTTAGCCCTTACCCTTTTGAATGGCTCGTGGCAATAATAATAATCGCCCACCAGAAGGGGATTCTTCCTTTGGTTCGTCTTCCACCATGGATGATTCTTCCGGTCCCTAATACTTATAGAGTGGTGATCATCTCGATTTAAAGGTTACAAGCTCCTTGGTTTAGAATCAAATCGCACTTTCATCTATTGTGATGTTGTATTTTTTGAACATATTTCTCCCTTAACCTTGAATTCTACCCCTTCTTCTTTACCCACTAAATTCTCCAGTTTACCTTCTTCCTCTTCCCTTGCTGTTCCAACTACTGCTCAGTCTAATGTCTCAACCTCTACCTATGATCCTTAAATTTCCTCACGTCCTCAGTGGGCTCGTCACCCTCCCATTCACCTTGGTGATTATATTTGCTCTTCCTCCACCCTTTACCCTTTGTCTAATTTCATTTCTTATCGTAGACCTTCTCCTTCTCATGCAGCCTTTGTCAATTATGTTTCCTCTCACTTTGAGCCCAATTATTTTTTCTGAAGCATCTCAATTACCGGAATAGTAGGTTGTTATGAAGGTTGAACTCTCGGCACTTGAACTAAACAGGACTTGGTCTGTTGTCTCTCTTCATCTAAGCAAGCATGTTGTCGGTTGTAGGTGGGTTTACAAAGTTAAGTACAACTTAGACAATTCCTTTGAAAGGTATAAGGCCCGTTTAGTGGCTAAAGTCGTTACTCAATAGGAAGGGATTGATTTCTTGGACACTTTTTTCTCCTGTGGCAAAGTTGACCACTGTTAGGGTCCTTCTTGCTCTTGATACCATTCACAATTGAACCCTTACGCAGCTTGATGTTAATTACGTAATTCTCCATGGGGAGCTTCTTGATCTTCCTTGTGGTTACTCCTCTCAGCATTCTCCTCTCCCTCTCAATGTTGTCTGTTGTCTTCACAAGTCCTTGTATAGTCTTCAACAAGCCTCACGATAGTGGTTTGCTAAGTTTTCCTTTACCTTGTTATAGCTTGGTTTTCATCAATCTCAATCTGATCATTCTCTCTTCATTCGTTCTTCAGATAATTATTTCCTTACTATTTTGGTATACGTTGATGACATTATTGTTGCTTCTAACAATTCTAATGAAATGCAACTCCTTACTAATGTCCTTAACAGCAAATTCTTCAACTCCTTATTGATGTCCTTCACAGCAAATTCAGATTGAAGAATCTTGGTTTATTAAAGTATTTTCTTGGTCTTGAGGTTGCTCGTTCTGCCAATTGTATTTCTATTTGCCAACATCATTGTGCTCTATAGATTCTCAAAAAGTCTGGCCTTCAAGGTTGCAAACCTCGCAACACTCCCATGGATATTAGTCTTAAACTTTCCTCTTCTGATGGTGATCTCCTTCCTAATCTTTCTTTTTATCGTCGCCTAATTGGTCACTTATTGTATTTAACAATCACTAGGCTTGATATTTGTTATATTGTTGATGCTCACCGGCAAGTGTACCGATTGCACAAGTAATATAATGATAAGTAAAGTATCGTCTCCACAGGGATTGTAAACCAAGTACTACAATAACTAGTCCCCTTAAGTTGGAAAACTCAGTTGTTGTTGGAAAAATTGTTGTTGATTTCGAGTAACAAATATAACTAAAAGTAAAGACTTGTTTTTGACATTTTGTTTAATAGAAATAAAATAGCAATTGATAAAAGTTTGGATTTTTGAGAGAATAATAAAAGGCATTGCAGCTAAGGCACACGCACCATATGATCCCCTCTTTAAACTTTGGATTGATTGACAATGTTCATTCAATTTAATAATTCAGACAAATTATCATCTAAAATAATTAGTTAAATCTCAATCCCTTGGCAATCTAACCCTTTAATTCAATTGAAATCCTAATCCCTTAGCAATCCCGCATGAAATTAAGCATTAATCACGATAAATCAAACGACTGCAGCTCACACAAGTCTATCCCTAGAGCATGCATAAATTGTTACCTTACCTCCTTTCAGAATCAAAAACCCCAATATTCCTATTGCGAGCCCTAATTCCCAAATTTATTATCTCCTATTAGGTTGATCAAGACTAACAGAAATAATACCAATACGCACAGGATAAAAATAAAATATATTAAAATCAACAAGCGAAAATAATCAATCCAGCGTAAAAAGGGTTCACATAGAGTTTGTGACCCTAACTACAATAAAAAGTAACTAGCCAAGCATAATCATGGCTAGAAATTCAATATTCAATAAAAACATAAAATTAAAGAGAAAGAAGAAGAAGAACTTGATCTCAAGAATTCTCTCTGAGCACCGTCGTCGTCTCTCTTCAGAAGAATAGGTCTGAATCCCTAATTCTGTCATGAGGATCCTATTTATAAGTCTCTTCTATTTTTCCAAAATTGCCCTCGCACACCACGGTATAATTTCCCGCAAACCGGCGCCGGTGTGGCGCTACTTCGCGTCGCGTCTCTGTCTCAAATTGCAAAGTCGGTACAAGAGTCACGTAACTTGGCGCCAGTTGGCGCCATTCTTCCACTTTTTGGGCGCCACTTGGCGCCATTCTTCCTCTTATTTTGGGCGCAAGATGGCGCCACTTGTGTTGTGTTTTGGCGCCACTTTGGGCACCTGTTTGCTTCACTTTGGCGCCCTTTGGCATGGTGGCGCTAGTTTGCGCCATTCTGGCGCCAACTAGCGTCAATTCTCTGGCATTTGTACTATGCAACATGGCGCTAACTTGCGTCACTGTGGCGCCAAGTTGCGCATTTCTCTGGACTTTGGCCTATGCGACATGATGCAACATGGAACTTTCCTGTGTGTGGAGTCGCGTCAACAAGCTTTTTATAATTTGTAATTTTCACTCCTTTTACCTGTAAAAACACAACCAAAAGGTGAATATTATTGACAGAGAAAGAATCAATATAAATAGCAAATATGTATTTAAATTGCTCTCTTATGACCCAATTCTTATCAATTTTAATACCGAAAAACTACACTTGCCAGAGGCACATCAATTGTTAATCATCTTAGCCAGTTCATGGCTTCACCTTGTTTCCTCATCTTCAAGCTGCTCACTGGTTACTTGGTTATGTGAAGAACACTCTTTGCCAGGGTATTTTTTTCTCTTAATCATCTGTTGTACAGATTAATGCTTTTTATGACTCTAATTGGGCTGGCTTCCCTAATAGTTGTCATTCAATATCTAGTTTTCATTTCTTTATTGGTGATTCTATGATATTCTGGAAATCCAAAACACAAAGTATCGTGTCCAAGTCATCTATTGAAGCAGAGTACCGATCAATGGACAATGTTACCTGTGAATTATTGTGGTTATTTTCTTTGTTTAAGGATCTTCATGTTTTTCACCCAGGTCTTCTAATCTCTTTTTGTGACAATCAGTCTGCTCTTCATATAACAGCAAATCCAGTGTTTCACGAGCGTATAAAACACATAGAGATTGACTGACATATTATTCGTGAGCACATTCATAAAGGCCACAAGAAGACATTTCCCATTCCCTTCTCCAAACAACTTGTTGATCTTCTTACTAAGAGTGTGTTTGGATGGCCTTCTAAAAAAAGCTACTTTTATGCCCTGCTTATTTTAAAAGTGCTTTTTACAAAAAGTGTAAACTATTTAGATTTTAAAAAGAAAAAAATTTTGAAAAAAAAAATTGGCTTTTGACTTTTGCTTTTTTTAGAAGCTCAAATTTTTAGCTTCTGCTCAAATTTTTAGCTTCTGAAAAAAGTAGATTTTTGGCTTTTGTTTTGACTCTTGCTTTATTTAAAAGCAAAGCATCCAAATGCACTTTACAATAGAAGTGCTTTTTTTTTGAAAAAAATGTAACTTTTGACTAAAAAAAATCATCCAAATCAGCCCTAAACCCCAGCTTCCCTCTAAATTTTCAGCTTTGGTATCTAAGATGGGAGTTCTGAACATCCACTCTCCATCTTGAGTGGGGCTATTAATATATACTTTATATTTTTTTAGCTCACTGTTATTTTGGTTGTAACTATTTTTTCAATGCTGATTATATTTTTCTGTTAGTAGTGCTGATGTGGAAAAAATATTGGGTAGTCCCTCTTGCTTCTCCTTTTCTCTCATCTTTTCTCTTTCCTCTCTCCTCTCTCTCTTCTATTTCTCTCTCACTCCCTCTCTTCCCAGCACACATGTGCCAGAATCACTAAATATTCTCTCGCTGATGTGAACTTTTCTGTTAGGCCTCTAGTGTTGATATGCACTTTTTTGTTAGGCCTCTAGTGCGGATATGCACCTTTCTATTATGACTCTTTCCTTGTATATATACATGTTTGCATCCTTTCTTTTAGATAAATGGAATATGCACATATTTTCTCCATTATGTTTTCTTTCTGGTTGATAGCTAATACTAATAGACCCGAATATATATATATATATATATATATATATATATATATATATATATATATATATTATATATTTATGTTTTATATTTAAAATTCAAAAAAATTATAAGACAGCCTAATACAGGCTTTTTGACCACTATAACCCTTAATTAATAATTATCAAGTTGACCTTCATTTTAAACTATTTCGAAAATTTAACCTCCTTAAAAAACATAACACCAATCTTCCCCTGTTTGACCGTTGACCACCAAACCTACCCGGGTACTTCCTATCCGTGTATTTTTTGAAATTTTTGACCTACCTGGGTAGGCAGGGTGATACCCGGGTATATTTCTTGAATCTGAGAAAACGCTTGAATTATTTACCTGAGTAGGGAGGGTGGTACCCAGGTAAATGTCGCAGGTAGGGTTTTTATATAACCCAGCAGCCCCCATTTGGAAAACCCACAAAGGGGTACCCGGGTAGAGCTGCTGGAGGTGTGTAATAGCGCGATTCTAACACCAAATCTTGTTGAAATTCTTCGTTTTTGTGGTCATCAGTTTGCGCACGTTACATTGTTGCCTTCTACCGATTGAAATCCATTCAAGGTTCATTTTTTTTCCTTTTTATAAATTGGTTTCTAATTTTGATATGTTTGTCAGTTGTTATCCGAAAATTATTGCGTTTTTGTAGTTTGCATGGCTAAACATTTGATTATGACCGATTAATTTTTAAAATTACTAACTCTAACCCTAACCCTAACCCTAAATTTAATGTTTCTGATTTCTGATTTTGGCTTTATTTTTTCAGTTTAATAGTGTGACACAATGGCTTCTAGACACGTTTCAAAGATGCCGGTGGGGGATATCGAGAGGAGGACCAAGCGTCGACACGATGGGTCGTCATCCTCTCAGCCCCAGGCTGCTATGCATCAGGCTCCGGACTTGCCGTTCGGATATTTGTTTGAGGATGACATAGTTGCACATGAGAGGTTTGTGAAGTCATTCATGAGCCGAAAGATTTGCGAGCCGAAATCACTGGATTCAGCCTTCTTCAACCTGGAGCGTTTCGACATTGTGCCGCTTCTTGAGGAGACACATTTGATTGTGCTTGCGGAGATGTGGTGCCCATACTCGGAGGTTATGGTGAGAACATTCTACCAGAACCTTGGCTGTGTGCATGGCGAGTTGACTTCCCGTGTCTGCGGGATTGATATCATCATGACTGCTCCTATCTGGACAGAGCTACTTGGGTTCGATTTTGATGGTGTCGCAGGTACAACACTATATAATGGAGACAGCCATCATATATTTGGTGATTATGACCGGGAGGCCATTGTTACAGAGACCAGGAGGGCAGATGCTGAGGCCGGACAATTTGCTCATTATCCTGTGAGCAACTTGTCGGTGTCTGCTCGCATTCTTCATTTTGTGGTCACACACATTATTTTCCTGCGCCCGCATTATCACTCGAAGGTGCTGAAAGGAGACTTTGTTATCTAGTGGGCCCTCCTTCACCATCAACAGGTGAACTGGAGGCATTATATATGCATACTGATGTGGAAGGCTGCCAAGTCAAAGAAGGCTGAATTGCCTTTTGCATTCCTGGTGCAGAAGATTCTGCATAGATTTGGTGTGCCTATGGCAACAGAGACCATGAAGACAGCCACAGGCTAGAATGCTATATTTGGTGAGCGGCTCCTGAAGCAGTGTGGGATCTTGCAGAGCAGAGCGGGTACCTGGTACTGGAAGAAGGCACCAGAACCACCTGAGGTCCCAGTCCACCACAATGTAACGTGCGCGAACTGATACCACAAAAACGAAGAATTTCAACAAGATTTGGTGTTAGAATCGCGCTATTACACACCTCCAACAGCTCTACCCGAGTACCCCTTTGTGGGTTTTCCAAATGGGGGCTGTTGGGTTATATAAAAACCCTACCCGCGACATTCACCCAGGTAAATAATTCAAGCATTTTTCCAGATTCAAGAAATATACACGGATATCACCCTCCCTAATACAGGCTACCCAGGTAGGGAGGGTGATACCTCGGTAGGGAGGGTGATACCCGAGTAGGCTTGGTGGTTAACGATCAAACAGGAACAGATTGGTGTTATGTTTTTTGAGGAGATAAAAGTCTTCCCAAATACAGAGGTATTAAAATCACGAAATCTATTCCAACAAAATCTTCCACTTTAAAAATAATGATGTCACAATGGGCTGCCAACTCAAAAGATAAAGGTTGTAAAGGCAAGGAAACTAGACTTATATCTGATTTGTTTTACAGAATGTCACACAATTATCACAAAATTACAGATAAAACTTATGATTACCAATAGGTGTGTGAACAGTAGTAGCAAATGATTGACAGAAAACAAATTTTTGGACAAATAGATTATCCAATGGCTTGAAAACTGTAATTAGCTAGCAGAATTTGTCTTCAGAAAGAAAAGTTAATAAGAACACAACGATAATTGATAAATACGTGTCCTACAGATTTGCTTTCTTTTTATTTTTTCTTACGAGGTTGGGTGTATGACTAATCCTAAATGCTCCTCAACACATCTGATAACTTGCTTTTACATCTGCGATTTTACCCCATCTAAATATAAGTCCCTCTTTGCATTTTTATTATCAATTACATTTCTTTCCAAAACAAAAGCGCTATGGTTCTAATGAATTTAACTAAAACTTATCAAAATCTGTTGTCAATGCTTAACAATTGCAACAATCAATTGGGTTTTGATTTTCTATCTTCACTGGCATGAGTCTGCTTAAAGTTAAGAATGCCAGCAAGTCCTCGTCCTCTAGCTAGTTGTTCTAGTTCTTCAAGCTTTTGTGAAAGAAGTTCAAGTTCTCTTGCTAACTCTTCATTCCTTGTTTTTATTGCCTGCAAAGTAACAAAAAAAGTGAGCACATATTTGAGATTCACAATATTTTTGGCCCCCCACAACTGCTTCCTCCCCTCCAAATTATTTTTAAACCTCCACCATTCATAGCATTCAGAGAAAATAAAAAGATACAAAAAGACCAACTTTTGCCGTGCTGCATTAAAATCCCTCTATAATCTACTCTTACAACAGATAATCCACAATGGAGAGAGAGGCCAAAAGACAACCTGTATCTCCTGTTTACGTAGTTCTTCCTTTCTTGCTTCCGATTTAGAACTTCTTTGTACCTCAAAGATGACAGCAGCTCCTGCAACCTAAATAGAGCGAAATTAAATTTATAATAAATCTTATTAGTTATTAGGAAGACTATTTGATGCCGGCAGAAATCTTGATAGATGGTACAAATGAAAAATTCTTTGTATGCTATTACCTATTAACCAAGGACTGAAAACAAAATGGATTTAAACATATCAACCAAAGATCATATGGATATCCAATTTGACAAGTAGAAGAACAGGCCATTCTACAAATTATAGAAAGCACTCTTTATATATATGAACAATATTCAGTTTAAAATAACACAAAAAGTAAAATAGTATAAAGAGCCAATCAAATTCACACGTCATAAGACATATATTAGTGTTATAGACACGATTCCTAAACGTACCGTCCAAGCAGATATTTCCTGGTTAATATATTATAAAGCCCATACATCTTTTTTGAAATTGCCACAACTTTGATGGACAGAAAACATTTTTTACCTCCTCAAAAAATATAACTTAAATCTTATGATCTGGTTTAAATCTTTTTCTTCTTTTTTGCTAGACAAGGGAAGCCCATTGAGGACCTAGCCTAAACAAGATTACAAGAGCTCTTATGCACTGCTAAAACATGATCACAAGAGGAGCTTAGAAGCTCTTGGTACATAAGCTTAAGTACTTTCATGGAGATAATTGCAAAGTCCATAAGCACTCCTTTAAAACATCCTAGAACTAACCAGGCCTTAGTTTAGTTCCATAGAGGCAAACAAGAAGCACGCTCTAATAAAAGTACAACCGGGCATATGCATTGCAAGGCCATTTAATTATTGACGAAGCTCAAACCTTCTCAACAAAATATTGATATAAGGAGTCTCTGCAATCTGAATCTATTAACCCAGTTCCCAATACTATATGCACATATTTAAGGAAGGATAGCTTTTCCTGCCATATATGATTATCATCAATTGCATTCCTTGTAAAAAACAAAATAAGCAGAAAGAGATTATAAATTAAGGAGGATGGACTATCTTATCCCTAGTTAGATCAAAGCCGAGTTAAATGAACTGGACATTCTTCTCTCACCATGAAAACAAACGTGCAGAGAAAATATGGATACAAAATGATTGCTGCTCTGTTTCTACAAAGATTTATACATAGCATATACGTCATGCAAAATTTCTTTTTTGGTGGAAAAAATGCCAAATAATGATCTAAGAGTTTATGTCACTTTCTTGTCATTTGTACGTATTCAAGTAGTTCTCAAGGTTCTTCAATATTGAACAAAGCATTACTAAAATTGTGAAATGACCCCATGACTCTTATTCAATTAAAAGATGAGAATTAATAGTATTTCATAAGTTAGATATATATAACCCATTTCTGAGCCTCCACCAAATTAGCTTAAGCTTTTGAAGAATTGGTTCTTGACAAAAAGTAATATCATTGTCATGCTATGAAGCACCGATACTCCTTAAAAATTTTTCCAACGTATCGGACACAAATTGTATGGTAATCGACATCCTGTATCATCGAGAACGTATCGAAAACGCCGTATCGGTGCTTCATATGAACCAACTATCCCAAAAGCTTAAGCTATTGGGTGAAGGCACATGAATGGTTTTGTATCTAACATGACCCATTATACAAGAAACCTTTGGGTTTAAAGCATGGATAATGCACAAGATCACCTTACCTCGTGTTGAAATTTAACTGTTATTTAGAAGAATGGAAGACAATAAGAAACTCTAGATCACATGATCATAGAGGTTCCAATATTATGTCATGAACTAACTACACCAAAAGCTTAAGTTGTTAGGAGAAGGTACAAGAATTTTTTTCATTCTCTGCAAAATCAAAACTAAGAGTTGTTAGGGAAAAAAGGTCATACCAAGTAAATTGGTATTGAAGTTTAGTGGGAGATTAGCTAGATTAACTGATGAGGAAGTTGATTTTGATCAAGACTCAGACACATCACATTTTCATCAATAACTCCATGGTTTTGTTTTTAGAACTTGTACAGTTTTATGGGTCTTCTTAGGAGGTCTTCCTGCTAGAAGGTCATTCCCTTTAATCAAAGCAAAAACTTAAGCAGATGAAAATTTTGATTTTAACAAAAGAAAAGAAAAGAAAAAAACAGAAAGACACTTTTGGCTACATTGCGGAGGAGGTATACTATCATATTGTTTTAAGAGTGCTATATTGGACCATGGCTAGGTCCACACTCCAAAGCGCATTATTGCATCAGCATAACATTTTAATATTGTCCTAACAAAACAAACTGATAGCTGGGGTCGAGAGGGTGTGAAGATCCTTGACAACTCCGAAATTTAGTGAGAAATATGTCTGTCATTTACTCAAGTTCAGGACAAAATATTAATTTCACCGAACAAGGCTTCTCTAAAGGGAGCAAGGGTGTATCCACCATTGATTTAATTCAAAGTGCATCATGGTCTAAGTCTTAATATACTGAAATTGATACACCCTTACTTCCTCACTCAGAAACAAACTCACTTTAGATGAGCATTTTCCCTATTTCACCAAGTATAAGGATGGCCTTTTCATCTCGCAGAAAGACCAATGCACACTTCTGGGATTGAGAACTTGTACATTATATATATCGAATAACAGTGAGATACTGTGATGATTATAAACGAACTTAGCATGACTTTAACTAACCATCAGTATCCCAGTCACAGCTCTTCAATCAATAAACAGCATCAGCACAGTAAAACACACAAACAGGTAGATGGCATTTCATGAACAAAGAATAAGAAACAAGTAGAAGAGTTTTTAATTACAGTGAAGACAAAGAGCTCCCCAAGAAGATCAGCAGCAGCTTGGACAGCCTTGTCCTCATTCATAGGTCGGATTTCAACATTAGTTGCATGACCATAAATGCGTCTCTGCACTCTTGTTGTAAGCCTATGATTGGCCTGTCACACACAAACACAATGAATCACGTATTGCTATAACTCATACTTCACATTCAGATAACGACTCTTATTGTCCCGAGATCACAGAAAAATCTAATATATTCATTGAATAGGAGAGAATACATAATTATAATATTAAAATTATCTTCTTCTTTTTATCTTTCTTTAGGCTAATGTGTCATGCTCTTATTGATGGGGTGCACATGCGACACGAGAGTAATGAAAGATTTGTTCCAACATCAAACACAACACTGTGAATTCCCCTTGAAGTAGAAAGAAGAGAAGCTTACCTGAGCAATGCTGATGATGAAATTACGGAACTTTGGATGGTACCCAGCTTCCTTCTTGAGCCTATTAGCAATGGGTTTGCACGCAGTTTTCAAAGCCAGTGTTCCAAGCTTCAGTACTGGAAGCACCACCATTATTTCTCTCTCAACCCCCACACTAACTTTTTCAAAATTGTGGAGAAAGAACACAACAACCCCCAATTTGTTCTTTTGTTTTGTTTTTGAATTCAATAACTACGAACTTAATAGTAAAGCAACTGTGATACTTTTATGTGTGCGTGTGATCGATGCACATCTTTCTTGCTCAACAAGATCATGGTCTGGTATCCCCGACAAGCGTGTTACCAACGGTTTATGTCCTTGCACAAAAACCGGCTCGGACCGGACCGGATATCGGTAAACCGGTTATGTCGGACATGCAACATTCAAGTAGACAACTTCATATGATCAATTTTTATAGAGAAAAATTTACAAAAATTAAAGGAGCATAAGTGATTTTTTTTTTTGGTTCTAAATTATAAATTTATTCAATATATAACATAAGTAAGTTCCTATATTATTTAAAAAAAATTGATATTTGATTGTTAAATTTTATAAAATTTAATTTTATAATTTGAATTTTTTTAATAATGTTAGAAACTCTTACCCTATGATGCACGGACACTGACACAGGACACGACACGACACGCCGACACGTTAATTATAAAAAATGGCATATTTCGACACGTTGAGACACGTTTTGATATAAATAATAATTTTAATATATATAATATAATTTATATTTAATAGATATAACAGTCCATAACAAGTCATATAACCAATCAAATATTCAAATTTCATAACATAAATATAAACAAAAATAATATTTCGTACCTTGTTAATTTTTCATGTCAAATTTCATAACAGAAAAAAGTTAATTTATAAATATATTTTTTATTTTTAGTTAATAAAATAAAATTAAGACTAAAAAAACGTGTTCGAGCGTTGATTACGTGTCCGAAAAAATTGACTGCGTGTCAGGAAAACGTGTCGGAGCGTTTCAGAGAATTGACCATGTTTCCTAAAATATTGACCACGTGTCGGACGCGTGTCCGAGTGTGTCCGTGTTGGACACGTGTCCGACACGAATTTTTTTTTTAAGAAGCATGTCCGTGCTTCAGAGTCTTACCTGTAAATTGAATTTTGGGACCTTATTAATTTTATGTTTTTTAACTATAAGGACAAAATTTCATGAATTTTTGAATGAGTTCTTGATTTTAGCTTACCATTAAATGTGTTTCTAATGGAAAAGAACCAATTTAAGGAGGTTTATTGGATTGAGATTTCAAATGATTTTAATGGATTGTTTTTTGATAAAAAAATCTATTGATATACAATTAAGATTTTAAAGGATTGAAAAAAAGTCACGTAGTACTCGATTAGGATTTTAAAATATTAATTTAGAATCCGTCCAAATCCGTTGGTATTCAATCAGAATTTTAAATAAAGGAAAAATAATTTTGTAGTATTCAAAAATATGATGATTTTAATAGATTTTCTATTTGTGTAGATTTCATGAGACTTTTTAGTTAGAAATATAAATAGGATGTCTCTTTCACAATCTCACCCTAAATGAGCCAGGCCACCGGCTTATATTATATTCGTAACAGGTAACAGGCTAAGGCCAGTCTGACACATTTGAACACAGGCTCGGCCCGTTAAGACCAAAGCTCGGCTCGTTAACACCCCTATTTGTAGGGGGAAAAATATGAAGAGAAATTTTTGGCTACTACAAGTATCATGATGTGTTTGTTGGATTTATATAGTTATTTTAATTTACGTAGTATAGATTTGTTAATTGGATCTAATGAAATATATGTTATCTAGTTTGGGCATTTTGCTTTTGAAAGTGACTTAAATGCAGATTGTGATGAGTTTTGTTGTGATTCATGGTTCTGTTTGAACGTTGAAATTGTGATTTTCGTTTTAGCAACATAATTTGAGTATTTTGTAAAGTTGATTCATGGTTATGCTTGTAAATTAAAAATTAACAGACTAACGGGACAAGTCTGGCCATTTTTTTTATATATAAACGGATCAAGCCAGGCTAACAGTTAGACTCATACTAGGCTCGGGCCAGGCCAAATTGAAATTTTTTGACACAGACTTGGGCTTTTCGGGACAAAACTCGGCCCAACCCAATCCACTTTCACCCTTAATTGCAGTGTCCTCTAATTCTAAATAGTCGTTTAAAATCTATAAAAAAAATTTATCTCAAAAAAGTCTTTTAAAATCCTAATCCAATGCACCTTCTAAAATTTTCAAAATTATAAAATCTTTAAGGATAGAATAAATAACTAGTTCTTATATTTTATAGTTCACATTTTTGGATATCAATCTTACAGTTTCATTCTTGTGGATTTTAAAATTTAGGTATTAATACATTAATAATGAAAAAAAAAATTATTTTAAAAAATAAAATCAATACTATAACGATTAAAAATTATACAAATAATTATGTACCAAAAAAATTATAAAAAAATAGTATAGAAAAATTCTGAAAGTAAAAATCTATATGAATGTAAAATATAATAACTTAGACATAAATAATAAGAAAACATTTATGTAGCAATAAATATAAGTATCAATATATATATAAAAAAGGGTTTGGTGTTTGTCATATTAAATAACATAAGTTATGTCATTTTAAGAGAGAGATAGACACAAGAAATGAAAATCATGAGAGAGAAAATGAATGGTTTTTTTTTAATTTAAATTTTAAATAAAAAATATTTTTTTGTGTCTATCTCTCTCTTAAAATGACATAATCATTTAAAATGACAAATTTTTTTCATAAAAAAACTGTAGAGACTAAAATTACATATTTTAATCAAAATTTACATTTATCTATGGTACAAAAAATTTACAAACTTCTAAATACAAGGAAGAATAATGACAATCAATTAATGTCATTATCAATGTTATTATCAATCAATTTCATTATTAGATCGATTATGTTGATCCAACAGTTATATTTATTTTCGTCAAAGGAAAAATAAATATTAAATATTAAATATGGGAAATCATAACCATTCTAAGGCGAAAATAAATATAACTATCAGATCAACGTACTCGATTTAATAGTGAAATTAATTGATAATAACACTAATTGATTGTTATATTATCCACTATAAATCTAAAAACAATAAAAATAAAAGGTTTTAATGTTTCTAAAGTGAACGTAGATAAGTTATCTACATTCGCTCCCAAATCGACGTAGTTTTAAGTTGAAAGATTAAAAAATTATAATAAAAAAGACTATAATAATCTTAAAATAAATTATAATTACAAAAATATCTTGATTTTCGCCTCAAAATAACATCGTTTTGAGTTGAATAAATTATCTACGTTTACGTTTACCGTAGAAAAGCTAACCCAAAATAAAAATAGAAAGCAAAAGGGTAAGGAAAAGCGAGGTATCTGAAGTACACACCAAAAATTGTTGCGTCTAATTCAAGTTTCAAGCTTGAACGAATCACCACATCATGGGTAGTAATAATCTGCAGGATTGAGGGGTTCCATCTCAATACATCACTTCTCTTTCGTCTAAGCTGATCCGAACACCCCAGTTAGAGTTCCGCTTTCTGCGTCGTCGTTTTCAACGCCATTGCCTCCTTTCTCCAATTCCAAGCTAAAGGTAAATTACCCATCACCTGATTCTTCTGTAAATTCAATATCCATGTAGAAATCCCCAAACTTGATGAACTGGGATGGTGCTATCTTACTTGGGTCCATCAATGTGAAAAAGGGTAATTGCAATTTCAGCTTGTGACACTTTTTTTTTTTTTCTAATTTTGGTGGAATGTGAATGACTATTTTTGCTAAAGAGTTTTGTTGTAGGTTGTAGTTGATCACTATCATTAACCATGTTATAACCATTTTCTGTTGTTACATGAGCCTTTGTGGCTAGATGTCTTGGTCTATTTTAATTCATGGAACTTTTTGTAACATTGCTTCAATAAAAGGTATGATGAAAGAAAATTCCAAGGGCAAATTTGGATCTTCTTCTCACCAATCCATGAAGGAGAAGGAAAAGCACCTGGTTGATAAAATTCAAGGGATTTTCACCAATCTTCAGTCTGCTAGAAAGGAAAGCAGGGCTAATGACATTGTGATCTTTGAGGAGCAGATGCATCAGTTGCTTCGGGAGTGGAAAGCGGAACTAGAGTCTCCAGCCAATTCCTTAGCTGTTTGTTTTTGAATTCTCAGACATAGCTGATTATATTATCTTTGCATTTTTTTTCCATTTAAAAAATAAACAAAAAAAAAATTGAATGTCATTGTAATATATGCTGCCATTCTATAGGATGGAAGCCTTGATTCGTTCACTGGGGAACTAGCCCAACTTTTGCATGTAATTGAGGAGAAAGATGATGCAACTAGTCCTTTAACAAAACTTGCGCCATCGAAGACTGAGCACCATCAAAATAAAATTGATGATAACAATTATGCATTTTTTCAGGAGGTAAGTTTCTTTCACTAGCTCAGGAGAGTCCTTTTTGTATCTGTGATATGTTGCCTTGCCTGGTTCTTAATTTGAAACAAAACTTTACCTATTTCCATTTATTATGGTTTCCGTTTGCGGTTGTATGCTTTTAATATAACTTCTAACAGTTAAAGATGAAGAATATAATGTACAGTATGTGCTTTGTTAATATGATTAAGATTTTTGTTGAATGGCACCAACCATATGGAGAACTTTGCAAGGTTAGTTGAAGCTTGTCTTTGCCAAGTGTGCATTTAGAGGACTAAAAATCGAAGGATCTTATGTTTTAACTCTTTTGGACTTAGTTATATCATACCAAAACAGGACATGATTCATTACCTCTATCAAAATCATTGACTTTGTATTGTTTGGGTGCTTTTATTTTTCCATTTTATTGTTTGTCAACTTTCCTTTTGTGTGCATATCTGATGGCTTCAACCGTTCTAGAGCTTATTTTTTCTTGGTGCTAGATGGGGAACAATTAAACATCAATGAGGATTTTAAAGTTATAAATAAAGTAAAAGCATAAGGGAAGACTATTAATGCCTGTGTGGTGTGTGATCTTTTAGTTTATTCAGGCAAACCTGTTGGCTAAGATCAGTGTTGTGAAATAGTAGCCATGACCCATGGTGGTGCCATGCAGCCATGGGACTATGGCATTATGGGATTCCACCATAACGCCATCGGATGTTAATGGTGTCTTGGTTTTTGCCATGCCAGTTATGGCGATTAGGGCACTAATGGCAGGAAAAAGTGGTGACATACCTTCATTAGTTTTTTTGAAAAAATTACATTAAAAGAATTCGTTGTAAATTTTTTTCTGTTTTAGGAACAATTAACAACTCCACTGGTTAACAAAATGTTCAGAATCGTTAATATCTAACCACTTATTGACTTGATCATAGTTGTTGGTATTGCACGATCCGAAGTACGTATACAATATGATACGGAAGCTGAGCGATATAAATTGACTACCTGTATTGGAACTGGTCATGTATCAAACCATTAATTGCAGAATCGTGCGATTCAGTATCGTATCGTATATCGTATCGCAATTTGCTATTCGAAATTCAACCCCAGATTTGGGATTTCAAATTTGAAAATTGAAACAACAATCCAATCCAATTAGATTTTTTATTTGAATTCAAAAACGAGAAAGTCACTATTTATTTTGATTTTTTTGCAATTTGAATTTATATGATATTATATATTTTTAAATCATTTTTCATTATTTTTGTGAAACTTATGATTCGATACGATTCACGATTATCAATAAAAAAAATATACACGTTATTGCGATTCAACAACCTTGGACTTGATTAACCACTTTAGTGGTTGGTTGTTCTTAAAACAGGAGTATTTTTACAATGAATCTTCTTTTTGTAATTTTTAAAAAAAACTAATGCACGATGTATAAAGAAAGAGAATATTTATGAACAGGATATTTTAATCTGTTTAATCATATTTTGTGCTTTACTAACTAATCTTTTGTTTCCTTGCTTTTCTTTAAGAGATAATAATTGGCGCTTGGTACCTTGCAGAAGTGTTTTGATGATAATCAACCACTAGATCATACTTTTGGAGGCTCTGCTTCAACTCTGTACAACAACGCTTTTAATAACTCAGATATAACTCAGTTGCATTATCATCCATTCAGTTTAAATCAAGGCTTGGATCACAACACAGTAGGTCACAACTCTGATTTGATTGGTCAATTTAATTTATACCAGGACCTTGGGCACAACGCAGAAATAAAAAACGCAGAGTCAACTCAATTTAGTTTTGAAGAAGGCTTTGATTGTAGCCAATTTTTTGGAGATGACACCATGAACTGTGGAGATAATGGTATACCTAACATTCTTCCAAGTATCTGCCCTCCACCTTCTGCTTTTTTAGCCCCAAAATGTGCACTATGGGACTGTTTCAGACCTGCTCAAGGGTTAGAATGGTGCCAGGACTACTGCAGTAGTTGTCATGAGCTTTTGGCAAATAATGAGGGTCTTCCTGGCATGAATCCGATTTTGCGACCCGGGGGCATTGGTGTAAAAGACGATCCTTTGTTTGCTGCTGTTCTTGCAAAGACAAAGGGAAAGGAAGTGGGTATCCCTAAATGTGAAGGCGCTGCTTCAACTAAATCCCCTTGGAATGCTCCAGGTGAGTATGCAAGAAGTTTATTACTTTTTTTGTATCTTGCTATTTAATTATATTCATTTAAGCTTGCAAGTTCTAGTAACAGGCTTGTCTATCAAATGTGTTGCAGAAGAAATTGGTCTATCCATGCTTATTACTTTTTATCTATTTTTTTAGGTTTGAATTGTTAGCTTTTTTTCTGTTGCAGAGTTATTTGATCTTTCTTTTCTTGAGGGAGAGACTATTAGGGAGTGGCTCTTCTTTGACAAGCCTAGAAGGGCATTTGAAAGTGGAAATAGAAAACAGAGATCACTTCCTGATTACAGTGGACGTGGTTGGCATGAATCAAGGAAGCAAGTGATGAAGGAACATGGGGGACAAAAGAGGTCCTATTACATGGACCCCCAGCCTCTTAGTTATCTTGAGTGGCATTTGTATGAGTATGAGATCAATAACCATGATGGTTGCGCATTATACAAACTAGAATTAAAGCTTGTGGATAAAAAGAAAAGTCCTAAAGGAAAAGTGACTAGGGAATCTCTTACTGATTTACAGAACAAGATGGGAAAGCTAACTGCTGCTGTTCCATCATCAGATGATGGACATCCTGTTCAGGTAAAAACAAACCCCAAGTCTGAGAATGTTGGATCTCCTGAAAATTAAATGAATACTCCGTGGGGTGATTTTGCCAAATTACTAACCAACTTGTACATATTTGAGGATGGTGGTTCACAGCATGTAGAAATTTCTAAATTCCCTGGACAAGGTAACAACAGTTTCTTGTTGTAGGTGCTAAAATTCTTGTGTGCTTACTTTATTGTTATTCCACTTTTGGATATTAGTATTGTATGGAGTCTGCTGATTAGAAACTCATTATGTGCAACATAGATTAAACGTTAGATCTATTCTGTAAGGAAGGTTCTGCATGTTTTTTGATGGATTGTAGGAGTTTCCTATGTTGGCTATCACCCAAATCAACATCAACAACACCGTTAACACCATCATACATATGCTGGATTGCCTCCACATACTTTGGTGGTACTTTTTCCTTCTCAAGAACCCATCATAAAACCTTTCATGGAACCTTATCGTCTCAAGATCAATAAATAAACTATTAATAAACACCATATATAAGTCCTTCTTTTCTCGATATCTTTCCATCAAGTGTCATATCAAGAAAATAGCTACCATGCTAGACCACATAGTTTCAAATTGATTTATAGAGTTGGTTGGTTGGTACAAGTTCGCTAATGGCTGGATTAGTTTTATTGGCAATACCAGTACAAAATAGAATTTCTGCATAGATAAAATATGCATGCATTTTGCCTTCAGTTGAATGAGACATCACTGCTCTTAGTTTCTAGTCTTGTGCATTATTTTACCTGCAACTCCTGTAGAAATACTATTTTGGTGGACAATGTGTCCAAGAGAACAATCTTCACATTTTCTATCATTCTGTTTGTTTTGCCCCCTCCTCTTCCAGTGAACTATTGTTGACTTCTGCCCTTTTATTTGTCTATGGTATTGTGATTAACAAATCAACTATAAAAAAAGACCAAAATTTCGATAAATTCAGTGGTAAATATTTACAGTCACATTAGGAGGGCATGTTGTCATCTTATGTTATTGTTAATGTTATACATACAAAAGCAAACATGAATAAAATTGACTATTCAGATGAGTTTGAGTTTGAATAAAAACGTGTCGTTGTTGCTACTATTTGTTGGAGTAGAATTGGTGTTCTTGCTGCTGTTATCAATGAGTTCATGATAGCAATCAACAAAATCATTTAAAATGAAGAAATCAATTCAGTGCAGAATTTGATTAAAACAGTTTGGTTTATAGTGGTGCATTTGGTTCACTTCAGAATATATATATATATGAGGTAGGATCCTTTGACATTGGTGTCAAATTTGAAGTTTGACACATCATCTAAGAACCGTTATATCAAAAAAGATCAATGGTGTCACATGCTTACAAATCAGAGTCGTTAATCCTTTTTTATCCAACGGTTCTTAGATGAGGTGTCAAACTTTAAATTTGACACTGGTATCAAAAGATCCTGCCTATATATATATTATTTGAAAGTAAAACAGTTTGATTAAAACATTAGTTTATGAATTCATCAAATATGACAGTAATTAATAAATGGAAAAAAATGTTTCTGCAGTTAATGCAGATAACTTATCTGTATTTATTTCCAAAACGACGTTGTTTTGGTATTGAAATTTTAAAAAATTATAGATATAAAGACTATTATAATCCTGAAATAAATTAAAATTTTAAACACCATGATTTTCATCCAAAACGACGTCGTATTGGGCTTACTGCAGATAAGTTATCCACAGCAACTGCAAAAAAAGTGAACCCTTAATAAATATTTGAAAACTAAAAAAATACTAATACGATGGGAAAAATAAAGTTACATGGTTAACCTCTGAATACCTATAATCGGATGGGCAACTATTGTGCTTTTTTTTTTTTTTCCATCGGTTATAGTTTTATATTTTATTTTCTAAAAGTGGAGTATTCAGTTAAAAAGATCTAAATCTCACAATAAATGAACAATTTTTATTTTCTTTTATTTTTGATAGATTGAACAATTCTGACTTAGCAAGGAATGGAGTGAGGATTGATTTTAAGCAATTTTACTCTGTCAAGGCTTGTCCTTACTTTTATTGCTCTATTAACAAGAAAAGAATTATAAATTCAAGGGAAAAAATGATTTAAAAAATTCCATTTACTTATTGATAGATCAATTATAAACAATTAAAATGATTATTTTTTTCTTCTAGTTTTGTCATTAATTTCATGGAGATTACTTCTCTCATGTAATGCGTAAAGAAGTTTTCTCATGTTAAGAGACAAATAAAGTGGGTCTCATTAATTTTTAAAAAGAGAAAAAAGAAAGACATATTTTTTGAAGTGAGAGTAACATGAGAAATAATCTCATGCAACGTAAGAGTATGATTTTCTTAATTTTATAATTGTTTATCTGTGAATGAATAAAATAAATTATATTAAAAATAAACATAATCTATTCACGACATCTATGTTGAGAATTGTGCTGCAACAATGCCTATGCGAACCCCGAAATTGGATGTAGTTAGGCTTGAGACGAGAAATGAAGGAGTTTATAACATGTTTTAAGGAGTATGAAAGAGCCAATTTATAGATAGAGTTTGCTAACAATATTAAAGATTAATCCAAATTTAAAATAAAAAATTGATACTTTTTTTTCCCCCCATTTTCCGATCTCTCTCCATCTAATAAAATAGTATACCAACTGTATGCATCGCGTTGCTCGTGCATGCTCGAGGTGGAGAAAACTTTTGGTGCGAAAGCGATATTGAATATTGGGTGCAACCGCCCAATGAGAAAAGCACGTATCACCTCACGTGATTTCTGGAGAAAGAAAAAAACTAAAATAAATAAATTTAATTTTAATATTATAATTATATATTATTAATAAGGAAAAGGTTAAACTTATTTTTTTTTTGGTACTTATTACTGAACTTTTGGTACTTACTAATTGTTGTTGGATACATTTGAATTAATTCAAATATAAAATGTGTTGGACCTAGTGGCGGACCAAGAAGATGTAATTTATGTCTGCACATTTAGTGATATTCATGAAAAAAATTTAAAGAAAATTTTAAATGTATTAAGAGATAGGATATTGTAACAACCAAGTAGTGATCATATTTTTCATTGTACGGTAATATTTATTTCTATCTTTGTACGGTTATGATAACCATATTTAAAGTTTTTAGTTTAAATATGAGGGATCATAATCATACAAAGATGAAAATAAATATAACCGTTGGATCCACGTAATCTAACTATAAAATTAATTGATAATAACATTGACAGATAGTAACACTACTTGATTAATACAGGGAAACCTAATCATGCTTTACTACTATACTTAAAAAAAAAAAAAATTTGAAAGTTCGTGTACGCAATTGCGGACAGTAGTGACCATCTAGGTCCGCCACTGGTTGGACCCTACAAACCATATTCTTAAAAAAGAAAAAAAGAAAAAAACTACCTAGTACCTATGATCCTCCTCTCAACTTTTCAATACTTAAATAAAAAAGAAATTAATGGTCCTGGAAGATTAGGAGTACGAGGCTTTGTATATCTGAGTGAGTTTTAGATGGAAATGTAGGTGCAGGTCTTCACGTTCTACTTACATATTTATTTTTGTCCATTCCTGTACCTATTCCTTCTTTGGACGTGCCATTTCCTCTTCTTTGGGTTAGCTTGGAGGTGACACAATTATAACCCAAAAGATCAAAGTTCACAAGTTCAGTACTATTACTTGCACATATGGCAAAAGGACTTAAAAAAAAAAAAGAATACTCCCCCGTTAAATCTTCACTAGCGAGGGTGGGGGTAAAAGTAATTCTTATACACAGCCTTATCTTTATATATTACAAAGAAAATGTTTTCCAGATTTATATATATGATTTTTCAATTACAAAAAATAATAATTTCACTACTGTTCCAGACTTCCCGTCTTGCCAAAAAGACTTAACATTACTTAAATTATGTGCGTATGCATTTGAAGCCTTTGACTCTAATATTTCAATATATAAGAAAATCCAACACATAAGAACTAGTTGAATTGAAATTTTAGGCTCCAGCTTGAAGAACTCAGTAATGAGTAATGACCACATTATAAAAAACAATGCAATTCATGCACCTTATGCGCATGACCATATCTATGACATACAGTACATCCCATATATATAAAAAGGAGACAAAGCAAATAGAGACTCATTATATTTGGTGATCATAAAAAATAACTAGCATTAATTAATTACTACCAAAAGTACTGGTATTCTTTTCCTCAACAATCTCTTGAAGCTTCTTGCAGAAATTGTCAATATAAGAGGACTCTAAATCTTTGTTGAGCAACATATCTCTGATTTTACTATGGTTTTCTCTGACTTTTCTGCTGGTTTCATTCTCATCATCCATCACAATGCTCACAGCTTTGCAGACACTGTCCTTTGTGAACATTCCATCTTCACCTTTCACCACTTCAACCCCAACTTGCAAGTTGTTTCCCATCATCCTTGCATTGAGAATCTGGTCACCAACATTTGGACACAAAACCAATTGACACTTATTCACCAATGCCTCTGACAAAGAACCTGATCCACAATGTGTAATGAAGCACCCAACAGAAGGGTGTTCCAAAATCAATTGCTGCAGAACCCATCCACCATGCACAATCCCTCTTCCTTGAACCCTCTCTCCAAACCCCTCAGGCAATGCTTCTTCAACAGAACCAAACCCAAAGGGGGGTTTCAAAGCTGCTAAGAATGGCATGCCAGTAAGCTCAAGACCAAGCAACAATTCTTGAAACTGATTTGGCTGCAAAGTGCATTCACTTCCAAAACAACAGTAAATAACTGAGTTTGGTTTGAAGCTTCCAAGCCATGAAGTCCATTTCTCTTCCAAACTAGTACTTGGTGGCTCTAGAATAACTGGTCCTGAAGCAATCACAGGCTTCTTAAACTCTTTTTCTATGTAATCAAGATAAGGCCCTTCAATCTCTCTACAAGTTCTGTATCCCAAAGCATCCGCTTCACTTATTGCAATATATTGGCGATCATAGAAAAGAACATTACCTCCAAACACATCTTTCCTTTTAGCAGCAAAGACACGTGCTTCATGTGCATGAAGCTTGATAGATGAATCAGGGTACCCTGAGGGAGGTTCCATAAGGTCTTTTTCTGTTAAGTTTTCTCCTTGAAAATATCTTGATGGGGTAAGAGTGTAACCTACCATAACAGAACTAGCAGTACAATAATGAATAGCCTTGATACCTAAACTCTTGGTCAGTGATGGCATCCAATGTGTGAAATCATAAAAAACAATGTCTGGTTTAAGGTTTGAAAGATGAGTTTCTATGTCATGTTTGGTTAGATCCATGGCTGTCATGATATGGGGTTGTAAAGGGTAAGGTACATCTGCAGTGGTTTCTGCATTAAGGGGAAGGCCATCAACATGAGGAACAGTTATGGGGACAAAGGTGATGAGATTTGGACGGAGATTGAATGGCTCTAACTTGGCTTGTGCTCTTTTGGGTGTGAAGAATGAGATTTTGTGGCCTCTTTTGGCTAACTTGTTACACAGGTGGAGAAATGCAGTTTGGTGACCCATGGCAAACCATGGATACATTGCTATGTGTAAAGAATGTGAATCCATAACCTTTGTATGCAACAACAGCAAAAAATAAAAATGAAGAGGATGATTAAACCAAAGAAGATGAAGTGAAGAGCTACTTTGATATATGTGTTGCTTATATATCAAGAACAGGCGACATTACAGGAGATCCTTTGACTCGGGTGGTTGTTCTAAAATTAACCTCACAAAGATTAATCGGCTTATTAACCATTGTCAAATTTCTTTAAAAAAAAAATTGAAATAATACAAAAAAAAATGAAATTCATTTTTTGTTCATTTTCATCTTAATAATAATAATAATAGTCATCAAAACTTCTAATTTCCTATTGTTAGAAAAATATAATATTAAAAATCATTAATGAAATCTAATTTAACAATTTAAGTTTTTAGTTTGAATTGATTTTTTACACGGTATTAAAGTCTCCGTGACTAAGTAATCACGAGTTCAATTCTCGTTACCTCTATAGATAACCTCGAGTAATAACTTAAGTTTTTGGGTGTTACACGAAAGATAAGATCCATATGCTATTCTTTACCATTTTTATTCTAATCACCCCTTTTATATTTTGGAGGATACAAGAAAGATAAAAAAAAAAAAAAAAAAAAGAAAAGTTAGTTACGGATCAATCTAGGGGTAGCAGCCCCCATTAGATCCCTCATAGTAAGGCTTCTGCTCTCCAAAGGAGGGCTTTCCAGGATTTCCAACTCCCAAGCTTGGTGAGTAACACTAGAGGCTAATCAATCCTTACTTGGTAGGATTGGGCTACGTACCATTAAATATGGAGTTATTTTGATCTTGCCAAATACACCAACACCTTGTACCAAATAGGGTTCTCTTCTTTCTTTTTTTGGATTGCTCCACTCATTGCTTCGCCCTGACTATGTCCAATCCGACCCGAGTAGGTTACCTAGCATTGGTAGGTGATTGAGTGAGTCTCATAGCGAGAATTTTCTGCATACACAAGATCTCGAACTCGAGTCATTGCTTAAACGAACCCAAGTACCTTACCACTTGAGCCAACCCTCGTTGGTAGGGTTCTCTTCTTGTCCCATAAAGGAGAGCCACACCTCTTCTTAAGATTCTTCTCCATCCATTTGTCCCAGGGAAGAGAATAGAAAGTAGCCTGTTCTTCCAAATCAATAACGAACTCCCACACCCTTCTCGCCCAAATACAGTCTCTAGTCATGTGAAGGTTGTTCTCCATAAATTGATTGCATCTAGGGAAAATCGCAGTTGCACATATCATTGGTCAGAAGTTTGCTGTGAAGAAGCCAGAGAAAAACTTGAATCCTATGTGGACCATTCCACGACCAAGCTAAGTTCCAAAAGGATCTATTAGGTTGACGATTGTTGCTGAGACTCTGAACCGCATCTGTCACAGAAAAGGAATCATCCGTCGAGCCACTCCAAATGACTCTATCCTCCCCTTCGATATGCAGCAGGGGAGTTAGACCAGCAATGAGGTTAACTACCTAACTATATGGACTGGTAGAAGATGTTGAAACAGGATCCAATTCCAGCAACCATGGGGACTCATATATATGTAGACGTTCCAAGACCACACTTCCTCAGGAACAGGTCCAGTAGCTACGGCAAGGAAGTTATCAACCTGGGGAACCCATCTATCGTTCCAAAACTAAGGGTGTGCAAAAAAATTAGTTCACTTGCCTTTCTCTTGATCTGACCTATAAATATTTATTTTTTCAAGAGTAAATACCTCTTTTCGTCCCTGGCAATTTTCACGAGGCACATTTCAATCCCTAGCAACAAAGAAGGCATAAATTGGTCCCTGAAATAACAAAAAAAGAGCCACTTTGATCCTTCTGTTAACTCCCCCCAAACGGCCCAACTAACGGTGCCCATGTTAGTTTACTGACGCGGCTTGGACGTGGTACACCGTGGAAGTAGAGACGACGAGGTTTTGTGAATGACATGCATCTAAATAGAAAAATTGCTCACACTGAACCCTAATCAAAAAAATCCCCTAAATTGCTGAAATCAACCCTAAACACAAAAATCCCCAAATTGCTCAAATGAACCCTAAACAGAAAAATCCCCCAAACTATACATCCGGACGTTGATGACTGAAAATCAACGACAGTAGAAGACCTCTACCGGATTTGTTGGGGCATAGAAGAAGATGAGTCTTTCTTCTGGCATGGGGGGATCAAGTGGGAGTGCTTCAATAGGGGGAAGAACACTGACAAGGACCGCCAGTCGTAGGTGCAAATGTGGGAGACAAAGTATTGTGTATACCTCCAAAACTGAGAGAAACCCAAACAGGGCTTTCCTTGGGTGCCTTAATTTCAAGGTATACATGTGTAATTTGCCCCTCTATTAAGTTGAAACAGTTGCTAATCGTGGTTTGTTATTTTGGCAGGAGAAGAAGCCGTTTTGTGATTTTTTTATATGGGTAGATGACATCTGTAATGAACGGATGGAGCTGGAAGATGCAAGAATTCACAATGTGGAGTTGGATGTTGCTGAAATTAATTTCAAGTTGAAGTATGTGGACATGATGATTAGAGAGCAAGATGTGAAGATTAGTGAGCAAGAAATGAAGGTTCATGAGCAGGAAAGAAAGATGAATGATCTATACCTGAAGATGGTGGAGGAGTTAGATAGGATGGACAAACAAATTAGGAATGTTGATAGGGTTGCTAGGGTCTTAGGTGTTGCTTGTGTAGGTGTGATCATCATGTGTATGTTTCTTGTTAGTGTTGTAATAGTCAAAACAAGTGACCCCAATGTATTTTTCCTTCAATGAAGTGTAATGAGTACTCAGTAATCTTGTTATCCAAATTAATGAAGAAGGATGTATTATATGGCCTATTCTGTGTTGGTTTGAATCTGTTTGCATCATACATTTCTGGATTAATAAAAAAGAAGCTTTCAATGTATTCCTTTATATCTGATAGCATCATATATATGTGCATCCAATGCCAACTCAATGCTAATTTTGTTGTAGTATGGTATACTGCATACTTGGGCATTGAATTAATGTTCTAGTTTGCTGCATTGTATCACAAACCACAATGTGATGAGATATGTATCCCTAAATCCAAAAATTGTTGTAACAGAATAACCAAAAAGGACATATTGGTTCCTGACATTTTATGTCGAGGCCCAAATTGGTCCCTGACAATTCATATCGGGGCCCTAATTGGTCCCTGAAACTTGAAAAATGGGCATGAGCTGTTTAGTGCTAAAAGGTATTGCCAGTAACACAGCACATTGCAGCAATGGAATGCACATATTGCAGCAAAATGTGGACCACATATGTAACTGAAACCAGCAAACACCAACCATAAACATTTCGAAGCTTCATTGTAATTCATGACATAGCACCATAAACATTTCGAAGCTTCAATTGACAAAGTTTCCATGTAGACATTTACAATCCTTCAAAAAGTTTCCACGGTAAGGTTGCATAATTACAGGCCTGCCTATACAAAAAACCATCCTTCAAACTTTTTCCACAAATTTTTTTTTTTGATTCACAATAAACTCATACAGAGACATATTGGGAATCAAAAAGACAGGTACTTCACCTAAAGGCCTTAAATACCAAAAAATATAGGGTTACAACTGAACTTGCATACAATTCAAAAAAATGGCCAAATTTAGCAGTGTTTCCTATACAAAAAACACTGAACCCCTATACAAAAAACACTGGACCTACAACTGATCAACTTCATTCACGCTGACCTTTGTGGCCTAAACCCAGGTGTGGTCATGAAGGCCATTAGCTTGCTCTTTGTGCCACTGCTTGTTGCATTGACAGTTTCAGTTGACAATTGTTCTGGTGGTGGTGGGGCAGTAGGTGGTGGGCTGTTTCCCCTAATGGATTCCTCAGCTGCCTGGGACTGTCTTGATATCACATAAGGTCCTCCTTGACTCAGAGGGAGCTCCTCTTCAGGTCTTGATGGTATGTTGACATTAACTGGATTTGAAGGTGGTGCTGCTCTCTTCCCTTTCTTGCTTGCAGCTGGTCCCTTACAGGTCTTTGCATAGTGACCAGGCTGTCCACATTTAGCACATTTTGCAGCATATGTCCTTTTTAATTTTTTGGTTTTGCTGTCATGCTCCTCACTTTGTTCCTTCTTCCTAAGCTTTTTGGGACGGCCAATTGGCCTTTTGAGTGGTGGAGGAATGGGTTTAGGCTCCGTTGATGCAGGCCAATACTGATCAGAGTTGACAGGGTTCAAGGTGTGTGCATAAGTGGCATGCAAAGCATCCACTGTCATTCATTGATGGACATAAAGCTCTGCTGGTTCATTCTTCTGACATATTGAGCAATTGCATGCTCACATGGCAATCCAGTGAGATGCCACACTTTACATGCAAAGTCTTATAGGTTAAATTGACTCCAACCCTTTCACCCTTTCCAGTCACTTCGTATAGATCTTGCTCCAAATTCCCTGTCTATGTTGGGGTCCAGGAATTGCTTAAGACCTTCAATTGATTCAGCTTCTTCTGTTGTGCTAGGGAAATTTTACCCCTAACTGTTCCAAGAATTCTTTGATGGGCAGCCATCCTCCTCATGATATAGCACCTAAGTTCTTCACATAGGCTGACAATGGGCTTGGACCTATATCCTACAATTTTTGCGTTCCACACCTTAGCCATGTTGTTGGTTATATTGTCACACTTGGGCCAGTGACTAAAATAGGCGTTGACCCAACATGAGGAGTCAATCTTGTGAAGGTATGCCTAAGCATCTTCATTCAAGTCTTTTAATTTCTGCATAGTTCTTTGGAATTGGGGCACAGTAATGCATCATGCAGCCTCCCATTCTATTCCCCTAATGGCTTTGTCCTTCCATTGCTTAATGATATTCTTCCACATCTGCTGCAGACAAAACCTGTGATGGGCACCAGGCATGACCTCCTGTAATGCTAGTATCAAACCCTGCATTCATATATGAAGCATCAACAAAAGTCATTACATATGGCTACCAATGTACAGGTTATATAAAACGAAAATAAAATTGAAATAACCATACATTTTGCTGATCAGAAATGAAGTTCCAGCCATGTACTACATGGCTGCCAATGTCCTCTTGTAACAAGTTCAGAAACCACTTCCAATTTTCTTTGGTCTCACTGTCAACCACAGCAAAAGCAATGACATAAAAGCTCTTGTTTGCATCCTCTCCCACTGCACTCAAGAGTTGTCCCCCATAGTAACCTTTCAAGAAACAACCATCCTGGCCAATCAATGGCCTACAACCAGCTTTGAATCCTTTCTTACAGGCCTCAAGGCATATATACAGTTTAGAAAAAATAGGTGGGCTATTAGGTACTGGCTGTGGTATTACTTGCATCACGAAGATATTACATAGTCTGCATCCATTTCAGGTAAATCATCCACTCTCCTATTTACATATGTAAGCTTCCCTTCATCATTCCTAACCAACACACCCCATGATGATATCTTATGACAATATATTCATCCATCTGCATACAAAACAGAATTGCAATCATTTTTTACACTACCAAAATATTATTTTACAGTATCATGGGGACCACTAATCACTAATCACTACATGGGGGACCACTAATCACTAATCACTACATGGGGGACCACTAATCACTACACATAGCGATTTAAATAACAACAAGGGGACCACATGCAACAAGTTCCAAATATAAAATACCTAAAGGGGACCAGAAAATAAAACCCTAACTTTATCTTTCCTTAAACCGCACATGGGGGACCACAATAATATGCAAAAAAATGACGAAAAAGGGAAGGGGGACCACAGATAATAAACAAATGATTTCTCAAACGTACCTTGCAAGAATGTCACCACACTCACAATCGTTTTAACAATATTCACCAAAAACCACACTAGCCCCAAATGGTTGCAACTGCAGACGAGACGTGCACCAACAAACCACTATTCCTCAACCTTCACCGAAAATGAAGCTCACGAGCAGAGGTAATGGTGGGTATGGACAAGCAACACAGTTGTGTGAGTGTGTCAACTGACTTAAAATCAACGTTGAAGAAGTCTCCTTAACCAAACGACGTTGTACGCTTATGTTTACACTTCAGGGTCTTCGCATATAACACAACGACGCCGTTCCTATCTCCTCCACGTGGCCGTGACGTTAGTGACTCAGCTAACTAAAGGTCTAGCTGTGCTCCGTCAAGTGGGCCGTCACATTCCAACTAACAGAAGGACAAACGTGGCTCTTTTTTTCAAAAAATAGGGACTAAAATGAGCTTTTTTTATTGTTGGGGACTAAATTGTGCATCGTGAAAATTGCGAGGGACGAAAAAGGGTATTTACTCATTTTTATAACAAGGTTTAAATACTGACTCACTTTTATTTGGGTCAGTTTTAGACCTGATTTGTTTTAATAATGACCCGTTGACCCAAAACTTAACCCACACTCAGTATGTGAAAAAAAATCATAATTACGTTAAAAGAAAAGTTTTAACGTAAAACAATTACGTCAAATTTTTTCACAAAAAATATTTCCATCAAAATTTTGATGAAAAATATTTTTATTAAAATTTGTGACAAAACATTTCTGTAAAAAAAATTGACGGAAAAATTTTTTTGACAAATTTTTTTACAGAATCTAAATTTGGTCAAATTATTTTACAGAAAAACATATTCATCAAAAATTTTGAAGCAACACATTTTCATCGAAATTTTTTGACCGAAAAAATTTCATCAAAATTCTTTATAGAATTCAAATTTCAGCGAAAGTTTTCAACGAAAACATTTTTATTAAACTTTATGTCAAAAAAAAAAATTTCGTAAAAAATTTTAACAAAATATTTCGATTAAAAATTTTGACGAAAAAAAATATTTTGTCAAAATTCTTTAAAAAATCTAAATTTCGTCGAAAGTTTCGAATGAAACATTTCCCTCAAAACAATTTCCGTCGAAATTTTCGTCAGAACACATTCCCATCGAAATTTTTAACAAAAAACATTCCGTCAAAATTTTTGATGGAAATCTTTTTTCGTTTAAAACATTTGATTGAGGAAATCATTTTCGTCAAAAATTTTGACGGAAACTAAATTTCGTCAAAAATTTCGATAGAAAATTTATTTTTGTAAAAATTTTCTTTAGAGAAAAAATTCCGTCGCTTTTCGACAAAAAGTATTCTGACGAAAAAATAATTTTGTGACGAAATTTTCGTCATTTGCAACGTAGAAATTTTATCGAAAATATGATCTTTTTTAGTATTGTTAAAATTAGTGATTTGTCATCTTAAGATGAGAAGAGCTTTCTCTCATCCTTTACTTTTCATTAATTTTCACTAATTTTGCTTCACATGTGCAGGGGCTTAAAATTACATTCCTTTATTTATTCAACAAATACCAAATTTATTATAAATTTATATATTTTAAAACAAATAAATAATTAAATTACATGAGTTTAAAAAAAAATCAATAACTATAAAAAAATCAAATTTAAAATATGTTTTCAAACCAAGTCAAAAATGGGTCAGGTCGGATTTGACCCACTTCAGAAACTAAGTCAGACCCACTTCAGAAATTAAGTCAGACCCACTTCAGAAACTAAGTCAGGTCAGATCCGACTCAGTTCTGAACTAGTTCAAAAAAATCCAAATCAAGTCAGACCTGACTTGGATCAAATTAAAGCGGGTCAGGTCAAAATACCTGACCTATACAAACCAAGTTCGGTCGAGTCAGCACAAAAACGTGACCGACCTGACCCATGCACTCCCCTACCCAAAACAAAGTGTTTCTCCCATCCCCTAACGTAACCCTCGAGCCTTGAAGGATCTCAGGCCAAAAACTCTGAACTCTCTTTCACAGGTTAGACGTCGTAGTAGTTTTATCAATGCAAGGGATCAAGTCATCACCTATACTGTATTTATTGCGCATCAACTTAACCCAGAGAGAGACACGCTTGGTAAGGAAGGACCTGTAAAGAACCAATTCAACCCAAAAACTTAAGTTGTTGGGTAAGGGCCTTTTTATTTATTTGCACTATTCTTTAGCATGCCCCTTCACATGAGAGCTTTACTGGACTTGAAGGGTGGATAATGCACAGATTTATCTACCAGTGCTAAGAAATTCCACAATAGAATGTGGGGGCAGTGAGAATAGAACCCATACACTGAGGCTCTGATACCATATAAAGAACCAATTCAATTCAAAAGCTTAAATTGTTGGGTGAGAGCCTTTTTATTTATTTGTACTGTTCTCTGACAGACTTCATAGCCAATCTTCATTATCATGGCTTTGTTTATCAATCTAGATTATCTCATATGTACACCACCATTATCCTCAGGAGAGTAAATAGTATCCCAGTTCACTAGATGGGTCTTCATATGGTTTAGGGAAGAGCCCCATATGAAGTTCATGGTGCAACGATCAAGGTTGTCACACAACTTCAGAGGGAAGGTGACTGATTGCATAGTATAAGTTGGTAGGGTAGACACCACATACCTGACCAAAGTTATACACCTAGCTAAGGATAGAGTGCGATGACTCCAATTGTTCTTACGAGCTTGGACTCGATCCATCATATGAGAAAGAGACATTCTAGACACCTAATTATGATGGTGTAATGGTATGCCTAGATACTTCCCAAGGTCACTTGTAAGGTTGATATTAAGGCACCCACTTATCTCTCTAGCCCTATTGAAACTAGTATTCTTCGAGAAAAATACCCAAGATTTCTCCCTACTGAGACATTACCCTGAAGCTTGACAAAAAGTTCTAAGGACCTGGTTTATAATTTGGGCTTGGGCAATGCTTGCTTCCGCAAATAAGAGGATATCATATGCAAAGAGGAGGTGGGTTAAGGGAGGGCCATTCCTCTTCAAAA